AATTCGAGTTGAGCAAGATATTTGTGCTCACTCAGGTCCGATTTAAATCATGTATATTAACCTTGATTTACACTCCCATACACGATCTGACAACATATAATCATAGACCCAGAGTTATTTTTCTTTTCACTAAAGGTAAATTAATTATAATCAAAATTTAAGAAAAAATTAATAATAAGATAACAATTTATCATTGAGAATGAGAAGGCATTTGGTATGACTAGAAACAGGCTTTTTATACTTAATTCTCTCTCATAATAGATAAAAAAAATGGAACTAGAATTCTACTAGAATTTACATTTTAATCACATGACGTTAATATAATTCTAACTTCGGGAAACTGTCGACGTAATCTGGTTTCTAGTCAGCCACTATCAAAAATGAAGTGCAGAGATCCAATTCTTTATCGACCATCCTTCCAACCGATTAATATCACTGATTAATACTCCAAACTGAATCTGTTCCTCCGCCCAAAGAACATCTTTGTATAAGCAATATCATTTTCCACTTGCACCATTTCTGGTTCAAAATGGATGGGTTGTGTTTGTTTTTCATAACATCTGTATAACTATACGTCTTTAAGTGGGGTCTTGGATTTAAGTTGAATCGCGAAACAGGATTAGTGATAATGGAATGCCACCATTTCAAGTAAATAGATATATTATAATCTACAAACAATTTCTAAATCTTTTAATCATTAGCTTTTAATCAGATCTGAAGGTAACCAAAGGTAAAAGTCGTCCACTTGAATTCGACCTTTATTTAAAGATCACTTGAAAGCTACTTATAGTCTTTTCTTGTTAAATAGGTGGAGATCGGTGTTAACTTTCTTTTATAATATGTGACAGAAATGTGATAAGCATATCTGTGTTTATAAGTTAATATCTGCATTGCGGCAACTTCAAAGGACATTTTAGGTGAGATGTAAGGGGTTATTTTCTGATAAAATTTAGTTAAAAAAATGAAGAATGTTAATAATGATATTTATGAAAATTGTCGAGAACTCTAGTTTGAGTGTGTTGACTTCCTTCCCTGGCCTATACCTACGATGGCAGGTAAAAGTCTTTGATGTTACCGCCAGGTGAGATAAAAGTGGTGAAATCTATGGTATTATCTTTATTCAATAAATACTGTTTATTTTACAGATAATCTTGGTAAACATAGTTCAGATTAGCTGATGGGTTATTTGGCTACTTAATAATTTTGCTACATATTATCTTCAATTCAGGTGTACACCATTAAATACTATTTATTAATACCTGCGGTAGATTCAAACATTACAGTACAGGCTTTTTGTTACAAACATTAAATAATTAGGAAAAATGGTCAACAGAATATATTCAATATCGTTTTCGTGATATCACTCACTATAATAAATCCACAATATGTCTCAGTTTAAACTTTTGGATATCGAAAATATTTCATTCACCATTAAGTGTATATTATGTTGATTCCCTTCGTGAATCATTGCGTCATCAAGGCTAGAGAAACCTAGTTGAAACGTCACCTTTAATAAAAAAAATTGTATTATTCATATTGTGACAATTCACACTAATGACATAATGCCATTTAAAGAATATCATTTAGTCAGTTCGACGATATCAGGGTTTTCGTAAGGATTGAACAATGTCGTTCAGACCTCAATTATAACATTTATTACCAGGTTATTTTTTTGGAACCAGTGTTAATTTTACTATTGAAAAGGTGTTGTTTTCATACTTCATGTAGTAGCTTATGGTAAAAACTTTTGCTCAACCTACTTTGCCTATAAAAAACATCATTCTCACTATGTCAAGCTATTACGACTACTTGTATCACGGAATATTGTAACTAGACCGATTTGATTGGATTGTAAGCTAGCGAATACAGCCAATCAGAGCTCTCGTCAGAAAGGCTGAACACAAAGCCATAAAATTTACAGCCTTTCTGTCGAGGGCTCTGATAGGTTGTATCCGCTGGTGTACAATCCAATTAAATCGCTGCATTCTGTGATACAAGAATAGTGGCTGTTGCAGTCAAGGTATAAGTACGAAGTTCGTAATAGCTTCACATTGTGAAAATGAAAAAAACATATACTAAACAGTAGTTTCAGTGAAACTTTATTCTTGTATTTATGAGGTTCCACATTGAATCCACTGAAATCTGATTCTCTTACAGATGAATGATAAATCAAAGATAGGAATCAGAGTCTTTAATCTTGTAACCAGAAATAGACACTTGTTTAACACTTGACAAAACTCTTTAATGGTTAAAGATTCCATTTAACACTTGTTATAACACTCAGTCTGAACACATTGCTCCAGAATACAATCTCCTACAATCTAACCTCTTATTGTCTTTGATTGAAACGACCCAAGGGAGTGATTAGGCGGAAGTAAAGAGTACTAGTTGTAATTGCCATTTTAACTGGGCGTTATGGCTAATATTGCCCTCTCGTGATTTGTTTCTAGTTTAAATGACATCTTTGATTAGTTCCAGTACAATATCATCTTTCATTATTACATGCTACTTTATTTTCCATCAATTTTCTAAACTCCCAATTACTCTCTTGATCTTCTGATATCCAGTGAAACGATTTACCATCTGATTGATAAATTCCGACAGGATTATTGACTTCTTTCACAATTCTTTTCAGAACTAGGTCGCGAGTGAGGGAGGCATGGCTAGATTCAAAGATCTTTGATCTTAATAGGTACAAATTGTATATCCGACTACGAACTAAAGAATAATTTCAGTCTTTCAATGAAATCTCTCCAGAAGTAAAAATTCCATGAATTCTTTTCAGTAAAATGTTTTCTATTTAAACTTAAATATGAAATCCTTAGTATCTACTTGTGAACTAGGCCAGTGCTTCTATAGGAGAATATCTACTATCACCAAATACAGCTCTATTGCTTATTTCATTTAATGACCAGTTGGCTGCGAACGTGTCGTGCTTTGAATCCCCTACCAAGACAAGACCATTCCTGAGTCCAGGACAAATGCTTTAGTTGATCAGTTGTCCAAGCAAATATTGAAATCTCTTAGTTAAGGTCTATACACTTTGTCCTTAACCTAGAAGTCCATTATTAGTATATAAATGTAGATTGTTGAAAGTGTTATAAAGCTATGTAATATAATGATATATCGCCCAGATAAACCATTCAATGATCAATAATACTTTACATATTAGATGTAAGTTCATTCTTATAGATAAAACTAATAAAAGCCTCATAAAGTTTCATTTACTTAATTTTCAAGCGAAACGAGGCTATCATTAAATTAGTTTATCATTCGAGGGGACACTAATAAACTAATCACAACGTCATCACTACAACTGGTGATGTAATGTACACAATAAGTGCTTGTATTAGATACAATATGTTATATACATAATATATCAATAAACCAAATCGGCAAGCTTTGATCTTCCATCCCGAGCTCATTTGATACATGACTACGTCTCGTTGACTTGTTAATCAAGTGAAAAAATCCGATGTCCATTTTACATCCATATCTATATCACCGTCCTATTATTATTTAATTGGTTTTGCCTAATTGTTCGTATTTATCTTACATTTAAATTGACCATTACGTCACACCGCCAGGGGGGCAGATAGATCTGGGATCTCGAAGAACGAGAATATACAGACCTTCCCAGAAACATTTGTCAAATTGATTTCAGCTAAATGAGAATTAATCCCTCGCCATCTCAATCAGCAGGTTTTATAAGAAAAGAATTTGTTTGATCCATTCAACTCTAAAATAACATTGATGAGATTTTACGAGGCATCATGGGGGCGGCCATATTGGTTGAGAGGGAATTCCCGCGTTAAATAAGAGTGGGGGAGTTTATTGGTCTGTTTGAGGTAGGGAAACCCCACTGATCATCAACTGAATACACAACATCAAACTATTAAATTTTGAGAGAAAACATTTGAAAACAAATCAAGCGATATTAATGATCTTAAACTCCAGATTATTGCCAATATCAATAAAACATCTGTGTGGTCCAAACTTTCTCGTTTATTGTAGAATTTTATGGATTCGACCTATTCTGGGGCAAACTCACAAATATATCGTCACTTGATAGAATACTTTGACCAATGGGTTTTCAAAAACTTTAGACAACACTCTAAAATCAAACAGAATTTGAATCAACAAATCCTACTCTGTATGCAACAAGAAGTCCAAGAAAAAAATCTTTAAAAAGTTAAAACATTAATAATGGTAACCATGCATGATGTCTTGGAAGTTAAAAATCCCTTAACAATTTAACAATGGTAGGCTATCTAGTGCAGTATACTTGGTATCCTTAGAAGATAATTGCTGATTTGGCTAGTTAACTAGTTATATTATATTTGATTAAACATATCACATCATTTATTCATAAAGTCATATTATATTACAATATGGTACTTCAATTCGTGCGATCGAGAGATACTAATAAGTGGATAAGTAATCCATAAACACGACATAACAATTCCTTAATAACATATCAATTATTTAAAACAAACTGTTAATAAATTCTTATTGGTTAATTATTCTTAAACAATTCCTTATTATCAACATTGTTAAATGCGATATGAGGATATTCTATTCTTTCCTTGAGGTTTATATATTTTGCACTTGGTCGCGTCTTAGTGTTCAA